AGACTGTTGAAAAATACTGCACCATCAGGAGGCCTATGTATGTGGTTGGGGGGAGAAAAACTCCTAGTGCACCTCGAGTTAGCGCTCCAAGGTTATGAAAGCTGCTGCCAGATGGTATTGAATGAAATCATCCTTTAACGTCATTGAATTTGAGTCTTCAAAAAATGTTTTTTAACATCATTTATCTCAGCAGAAGTAGGAGGGTTTTAAAGATGATTACATAGCTTAGCTTGGTGGACCCTGAAAATAGCATGTTTATTTGGGGAGATAGAGTGCACAAAGCAAATAATTAATATTAACAATGAAAAAAAATTAAAAATTATGATATACCTAATATACTAGGGGAATGATTTGCTTTGGGAGTTCGGGAGAAAAAGGACGCATGCATCCTTAAGGATAAAATTTTGAAGGATAAGAAGCGTATAGGTGCGTTAGATACATAGGAACACGAGTAGGGGCAAATAGTCACTGCGGAGACTTGAGGTATTATGTTGCTTTTCTAATGAAGTCAAATGATTACAATTATCGAAATTACTCTTCAGAGCTGGGATTGTAATTTGTTCAGAAGGACTCCTAGGATGCGAGGCAAGACTGGCGAAAATATTAACTAGAATCTGAAGAAAATGATAAAAAAAAAAAAAAAAGACATGCTCGTGTCCACTAGAGATGGAGTAAGTGATTGCTTCTCAGCCTTTTGGCTAAGATCAAGTGTGGAGATAGAGTAAATGACACAGACAGGTAAGCTCCTGCTCTCATAGAGTCAACAAATACTTGCACGAAACGTCATTACTTTTGCCCCATTCGTCTGGTTTGGGCATATTTATTTGAACACTAATTATGGTACCCAATGAATTAGCGCTTTCTCCCAGTTTCATGTTTTAGAAACAGATGTGCTGACTAAGCAAACACAGCTAATTCTGGGGGAAGGTTGGGGCTGGAAATTGGCCGAAGTTAATCCAAGCATCCTGTTAGATTTAGAGGCATTCAAATAAGAAAGGGAAGATGATAACATTTAGGCACTATTAAGGCTATTCCCTGGTCTTCTAGTCAATTCAGAGGGGTCAATATCCCCTGATTCTACAAGATTAACAGAAGGCTACCAAATTTCTAGAAAACCAGAGGCAAAATGTGGTATTTTCGAGAATGATTAGAAATATGGAAGACACAATCTAACCTCAATGATTCAGGGTGAATGGACACAGATGCCTGGAGCCAGGGAATGTAGGTTAACTTCTTTTGGAGGGTAGCGAGGACGACAAATAAAGCCGACTACAGCAGTCTATGAGATCCAAGAAGAAAGATATCCTAGATAATGGCTGAGTTTGAGAAAGAACCTCAGAGAATAAAACAACCCCTAATTTTACATTTTAGAAAACCAAAGCTCAGACAGACTACATAACTTGACTAAAGTGAAAGAACTTATTAAATACAAGCCCATAACCTGATCACCTGACTAGTATTCTCTCTTAAAATGCCAGAAAGGTCAAGGCCTTAAC